AACCTGCACATGCCAGCACACCTTCAATATGAATCACGTGCTTATGGTGACAGACAAGAACGTTCTCCAGCTTTGACTTCCAAGACTCCGTTCCATTGATTCTGTTGTCTTGGAGTCAGTCTCTCTGTCCGTGCTGCCATTCATTCCGCATGTCGCGATGGTTTCTCGATGGATCTTTCAAGTTTCTTATGGTCGAGCATTTCGTGCCTCTTCACGAGAGGGTGCTGGACCCCACAAGGGCCCAAGTCGTTCCCATCCAGTTGCTGACAGCCTGCAGCAGTTGGAGAAGCCTAAAGGCAATACAAGCTCGGCGGACGTTTTGATGACGCGACTGCCGCAGAACTCTCGAGCAGTGATGCATGTGCTACGAGATCTCAGAGGCTTGAAGCGTCCAGATTTGATCTTTGCCGTGTTGGAAACCTTGCAGCGATGGGGTCAGGTCGGTCTCAGGCCAGCACAGTATGTGGTGGGCATGGCGGCGTGTTCTCGTGCCAAACAGTGGCAGGAAGGCTTGTGCATTTTCAATTGGATCCTGGAAACCAGAAATGTTTTGGATGTTATTAGCTACAACGCTGCCCTGAGCTGCTGTGACAAGGGCAGCCAATGGTATCAGGCGTTGCAGTTGCTCGAGTCCATGCCCACAGCCCTGGTCGTCCCAGATGTTATAAGTTACAATGTAAGCATCAGCTCTTGCGCACGGCAAGGCCGCTGGCAACGTGGTTTGCATCTTTTCCAGTCCATGAAGGATGGTCTGCACGGGCCTGCAAGCCCGAATGTGGTTACCTACAATGCCACCATAAGCTCATGTGCCAGGGGCAAGCAGTGGCAGCGGGCCATGCATCTTTTTGAGTCCATGCCGGAATCCGACGTTTCGCCAGATGTCATCACCTACAACGCTACATTGAGCTCCTTAGACAATGCCGCCGGAGGGGACTTTGCTTTACTGCTGCTGGACTCTCTTTCGAAGGCCAAGCTGTCGCCTGATGTCGTCACTTTCAGCACCGCCATCAGTGTTTTTGAGAAGGTTGGGCAATGGCAGCATGCCTTATGCCTCTTCAACTCCATGGCCAAACAAAGCCTTTCGCCCAACGGAATCAGCTACAATGCCATGATCAGTGCATGCGGTGGCAATGGGGAGTGGGAGCTAGCCTTGAATCTTTTCAGCTCCATGCCGAATGCTCAGATTGTCCCAGACGAAATTAGTTACAACGCTGCTATCAGTGCGTGTGAGAGGCGGGGCCAGTGGCAGCACGCTTTGGAATTATGGATGTCGATGCCGGGTGCACGACTCTGCCCAAACGAGATCAGCTACAACACAACTATCAGTTCGTGCGCAAAAGGTGGGCAATGGCAACTGTCTTTGCATTTGCTCAGCATCATGCCGGTAGCCAAGATTGCACCTGATGTCATCAGTTGCAGCGCCAACATCAGCTCCTGTGAGAAGCAGGCGAAGTGGCAAATTGCAATTCAGTTGTTCGGCTCCATTTTGCAAAGCAGGTTGGTAGCGGACGTCGTCAGTTACAGTGCCACCATCAGCGCATGCGAGAAAGGTGGGCAGTGGGAAAATGCTCTTTCGCTGTTGAACTCCATGCCAAAGGCCAAGATATCACCAGATGTCATCAGCTACAACGCTGCCATCAGCTCTTGTGAGAAGGGCAGCCAGGCCCACTTCGCCTTGCAGCTCTTGAACGGTATGTCCCAGGCCGATCTGTCTCCCGATGTCGTTAGCTACAGCGCTGCCATCAGTGCTCATGAGAAGGTTCGGAAGTGGCCGCTTGCCTTAGAATTGTTTGACGCGATGCCCAGAGCAAACCTCAAGCCCAATGAAATCAGCTACAACGCCACGATCAGTGCATGTGTGCAAGACGGACATTGGGATCTAGCCTTGTGTCTTTTCAACTCCATGGCAGCTGCTGACCTTGTCCCCAACGAGGTCAGCTACAGTGCCACCATAAGCTCCTGCGAGGAATCTTCTCAATGGCAGTTGGCGCTACATCTGTTCATGTCCATGCAGGAAGCTCAGATAGGGACTAATCGCATCGGCTGCCGATCAGCGATTAGCTCATGTAGAGGGGAAGGTCGCTGGCAACTTCTGATGCAGCTGTCCTTGGCAAGAGCCCCAGCTTAGCGGCCAAGCTGGCTCCGCATCTTTTTTGGAATACGTTCGCTGTTCAAGCTTTCGACGGGGCACAGGGAATTCATTGCAAGGCCACAGACCCACTGAAAACAAGCGTGCCCCTTGTACCCGAGTTCTTCTCTCCAAATTAAGAAAATCGACAGGTACTTGTTGCAAGACTGAGACTGAACAGTTGAAGTTTTGCGGCCGTTTCTCCATATTTACTGCAGCATCCCCTCGGCCCCCAGGCTCCACTTGCCTTTGTGGCTTCCCGTAGGATTCTGTGACAGATTCTTGGCAGATTGGAGGGGGCATAGCTCTCAGCCGCATGGTACCAGCATCTTTGCACGTGTTTCGATCATCGTCGTTACTGTCCCCGCAAAAGCCAGTCAGGCTTCCGACTCAGATTTGAGGGGAGCGATGCTGTCGACGAGTACCTAGGTTTTCCATGCATGCAGCTACCCGATCTATCCGGCTGACCTTTCTGCTCATAGGCTGCAGCCGCAACAGACCCTCATGTTCGACATCTCGTTGGTGCCACGGTGTTGTCCGTGAGCATGGGAGGCATGGTGGGGGCAGGAAAGCCTCCTTCGCTGAGTGGCATCAGCCTGCAGCAGTACATTCCCAAGTATTTTTCCAACTTCTGGGGTCTCGACCAATCTGGTTTGTCGAGCGATCTCTGCACGCAGCGCCGCGAGCACTGCCAGCACTGTGATGCGGAACTGGACATTCGTTTCCTTTTCCTATCTGGTCAACAGCTGTGCTTGCGATTCCGTTCCGTGCTTACTGCATGGCATGGCTTGGAAGAGGAGTTGGGGGCAAAATCTCAGTTGCTGAGGTCGGGAAGCGACGGTTCACACGGCGCGACAACACATTGCCTTCCTTTGTTGTGTCCCCAAGCAGGCACCCTTGTCTTTCCATGTACATGTTGAGTTCAGCTTCGTTTGCATACAGGCTGTGCAGCTACTTTGTGCGGGACGCCTTTTGCAGGAGGAGGCCCATCTTGTGGATCCTGTTTTGACTTAACAGCTACCGGGCACCACACGACAGGTGCAACTTGCGTCCCTGGGCGGGGACTGCGTACAGGTCATCTTCAACGCAAGCTGCTTGCGCAAAGGAGGACCCGATGACTCTAGTGATCAATGTGGCGCATGCCGATCTGTCAGCGTCAAGCTTCGAGGCCCCGCCGCTCAGCTGGCAAAGCTGGGTGTTTGGCATGGCTTGAAGGCCCTTGCCGACTTGCTTATGACCATGTTGAGACTCAGATACGAACGGCATGTGTGATTCTTGGACTTGGCCTGATAGGTTCGATCGTGGCTGTTAAATTCGGTGGCTACGGAGTCCCATGGTGTTTTGCGACAGTCACACAGTCTCCGTGGTGACCGCAACTTCGCCTTGTGAACATCCTGCAGTTTTCGCCATCTCGAATCGCCTCAGCGCCTCGACAATCTGTAGAAATTTGCAAGGTATGAGCTTCCATTATTCTGCCAAAGATGCAGATGGCTCCTACGCGTTGGTTTCAAGCCGTCGGAAAGGACAAGCGTTCAACGAGAGCAGATCGTCTGATAACTTTGCAGGCGGCAGCTGTTTGTGCCCAGGACATGCCGTGTGCCGACAGTTTGCACTAGGCATCGAGGCACCTGCTGCGTTCATGTTTTTCTGTGCGGGGGTTTTTGTTTCGGGCTGATATTTGCCTCGCCCATGCTTTTTCCAGTGGACGAGCTCGCCTGCGTGGATTACGCAATAAAGTGCTGCCAACATGAGAAGTATCGATCCCAAATTGGCAGGACACTGCCTTTTTTCGTGTGGCGTGCTAAGGCTTGCTCGATTTTGCTCAGCGTGATGTGCCTGTCAGGGGTTGGACCTGTACCGTGGCAGAATTTATCGGTGCCTGCCGGACAAGGAATCGTGCACTGCCTTGATCAGAAGCTGTTACTGAACTTTCGTGTGTTCTGCAGGAATACTTGCTATGTGACGGCTTGGGAGGACAAAGCTTTGCAGGCACGACATGACACCATCCCGTGAACTTTCGTTTTTGCTTGATGCAAGCGTTACGGCAATCGTCTGTGGAACGATATACAATGAGAAGGAATGTTAGACACACTTTACTTCCACGAACCAGGCCGCAAGAAAGCAGCCCAGCCGGAGACGGAGATGCCGCACAGTGCACAAACAGCAGTTGGTGATCTTACTTGAATCTGCTTTCCATGGTTGCTTTACGGGCAGCATGCAGGCATTGTTGCTAGATAAGACTGCACGCTGTCGCAGGTGACACGCGCGAAATGGGATTGTTGCACTTCAAGACAAAAAGGCGTGTTGGGAGGCTGCACATCGAATTCGCGATGCCGCCCTCAATGCAGGCCAGAAGAAGGGCTGAGTTTGTTTCAGGGCAGCGGGTGGGGTCGTGTGAGCCACGAAGTGAGCTGCTTCGGCATCACAAACCCAGTAATGTACCCACTGCAGAGTTCAGGGTTGACTTTGAAAATAGCAACAGCAGGGCACCGATCGGCGTTCTGCACGACAGGATTTCGACCAAACAGCGATGCTACCGCAGCCACTCTGGAAGCTTTACCGCGAAAGGAGGTGGGAAGAACTGCTGCGCGGCTGCAGTTCTGTGAGTGAACAGTTGAATCACCTCATGCCAACAGTCGCTCCTCTTCGTTAAAGCATCAAGGCTCCGTCGATGATGACCCTCTTGTGGTTGGTGTTCTTCATGTTCTAAAGCATGCATGGGGTTTGACCTAATTAGTCCCGTCCGAAGCTGCTGATATTCTGTCGGTGCTCAAGGCAAGTCCTGTCCGGCACTGCCGATGATGGGACCGTCGAGCTGCTGTTGGACGGTGAGCGCATCTTCGAAGCTAGGTGTTTGTCCGATGGTATATGGGAGGTCAGATTTGGCCCTCCTTTGTCTCATTTCCAGGCTCTCGGAATTATGACGGGAGTCTTAGACAATGCTAGCTCCGCCAGCTTCCACAAGTGAAACGGCTATTCCAGTACTTGTCGCACTGATCACCCAGGGCCTCAAAGCGGGCCTTGCAGTCTGCTGCATCCCAAGACGGGTTGTAAAGAAGCACCAAGCTTTTTTGTATCACGGCGAAAGCCAAGGAGAATCAATTTTCGGTGATGTGCCCGTTCTCCTTTGCCATGTCTGGAGATCCTTGCCGCGATCGTAAAGTTTTTGGACATGTATGGTGTATGGAAGGGTCCAAATCTCCAGTCTACCTCCAGTGCCAATGACTCCAAGTCTCATGCATCATGCAAGAACTTGCAACAAAAAAAGGGCGGCAGGCTGCAGGATTTCTGGTCTTGATGATGTTCACAATGTGTGAATGTTGAGGTATGAGCGGCTGCTCAAAATCTCCTTCAAGCATCAAACTACAGGTACATGCCGTGGAACTATGTGCGGGTCACCTTGGCTGTTGAAGGTTTGTGTGGCTGTTCACTCGGCTTTTTACCGCAGCCTGTTTCAGGCTTCGAATGCAATGTTTAGGTTTCAGATGTTTCAGATTGCAGAGCACTATCAAGCCCACCTAGGGACCTAGCTGGTTCAAGCTTGCTGGTTGCTCGAAGTCTCCACGCGCACACCAGCTGCAGTACAGGGGTGAGGATAGACAGCCAACGTAGAAGCAACATCTGCCCACCCCAGTGGAACAGCCAGCAGATGGCAGCTTATCGCTTGAGCGAGGCTCGGCGAGGGCGGCGACTGGAGGACGAGTCACTGGCATCACCGCGTGGAGGGAACCTCTCGCGGAGCAGTTCTCGAAGGTTAGAAGCTTCCGTCGTTAACGACCGGTTCTCCACACAGAATCTGGTCCGCGACGTAAAGGCCGTGGCCGATGCTCAGGGTCGGCTTGTACGAGTGATAGAAGATGTTTCCCAAGAGCTATCGCAGCGCTTAGCCGAGCACGATCGCCAGCTTGCAGATCATTCCGTGAACCAAGTCTCCTTACGCGATGCTCTCCACAAATTTCAGCTGGAAGAAGTCGCTCGTCATGATTCGCTTGCTGCGGAATACCTGCGGCTCCGAACCGGCGATGGGGATGCTGCTGCCAGGCTCACGTTTTTGGAGTCCAAAGTGGTCGGCATTGACAAGGTTTACGCAAGTCTCAACAGCAAGTTTGCCGAGCTAGAACAGGCCGCAAATGCCTTGCCAGCAAGAATTCAGGATGTGCAAGTTATGCATCAGAAACATTTGCAAGACATGTACCAGAAAGTCCTTCGCAATATGGAAGAACAAAGAGCTGAATTCTTCCAATTCCAGGGACAGGTCTCATCACGCTCCCATTCCGATGGGCTCCTCAGTTTGCAGAAGCAGTTCGAACAGCACCGGCAAGAGTTTGATTCAAGACTCCAAGCAGTAGGCGCAAATGCTCTGCTTCCTCAGATGCAGCAGCATTTGGAGACAACCTTGCTGCAAAAGCTGTCAACACACCGACAAGAGCTCGATTCCAGACTCCAAGCAGTAGGACCCGATGCTTTGCTTCCGCAGTTAGAGCAGCATCTGGAGAAGACTTTGCTGCAACAGCTGTCAACTCAGCTGTCCTCCCAATTGCATCAGATACTTCAGCAGCAGTTGGAACTGCATGTGCAGCCACAGCTTCAGCAGCAGCTGGAGCAGCAGGTGCAGCAGCACTTGAAAGCCCACTACTCTGCGGGAATTCAAGAGTTGCGAGACATGTGTGAAGCAGAAGTGAGGAGGGGCAAGGAGCTCGCCAGCCAGCTGAGGCAGCGCTTGCGAGAACAAGACGGCATTATCGCCGAGGGTCAAGAAGCCTTGCGCCAGGAGGCTGCGAAGCGAGAACAGCATTTGGCAGAGTTGCAGGATGCAGCACAGCGGTTGGCGCAGACTGCAATGGAACGTGCGCAGGCTTCCACTGAGGCGCATGCCCACGTCTTTTCCACATCCTCTTCATTGGCGAATCGCCTGGCTGTGGTGGAAGGGGAACTTCAAAGTGCTCAACGTCAGGAGAAGGAACGTCAGCAAAAGAGGATTGCTCGACTCGAAGAAGACCTGGCGAAGTCGCCAATGCTGTCACCGAGGGACAAAGCTGGCCCGAACGTTTCTTGGCCCGGTGCAGCAGGGTGCGTTCAGATCTTTTCAAGGACCGATCGGCTTTGGGACTAGAAGATCTATCCATCTTTTCTAGACGTATCAATGGAGACATCACTCTACGGCATCAATACTTAAATAAGTGCGCGCTGAGGCTTTGGATCAGTCCACCAACCTTCTTCGTGCTTTAGATGAGCTTCGAGTTCAGGCGCGTTGCGAAGAAGTGGGCTTCACCCATGGACGGAGTGTGTTTTGAGTGCTGCCTCCAAGCTTGACTGCAGATCTTCGCGGAGCTCAGCGATGCTCGAAAGCACGCCCTTTCCACAGCATGCAGACAGGTCAGATTTTGTGCGTTATGTTGTCCTCATCCTAAGTCTTGGCATTAGGCTCAGCATCTCAGCACGAGAATTTCGAGATGCCATGCCCTCTGTCACGGCCAGGTGCAGTTTCCTCTCCGCAGTGGCTTCATCTTTTTTGTCGTCTTTGTTTGCAACTGAGGCGAAGCCGGTGTGGCAGAGTTGCAGCAGGCCTTGCTTCGCACGCCTGCGGTTGGGTCGAAGACGATCTTGATTTGCACCGGCGCATGGAGTACCGAGTAAATTCCGGCTTCGGGTTGGAGGCTCTCAAGGTAGCAAGCTTTTGCGAGCTCCAGAAGGTCTTTCGGGCTCTCATTGCTGCTCCCATCACGGAACAGCACTCCTTGCACAATGCTCACAGCAGTCTTTCTCGAGACACCACCACCCAAGGGATATTGAGCGCACCTTCATGTGGACGTATTGTCGTCAGGTGACCAGATCTTCGAATACCTTGCCAGCCTTCCTTGCGCAGGCATCTTGGCCAGCGACTTGCATTGCCGTGGCACGAAAGCAGAACTGTGAAGCTTCACGATTTTGTTTATGGCGAGTTGTTTCAACGGAAGCATCGACGCACCTGCAACACCATGTGTTAAAAAAGGACAGAGCAGTGCAATCTTTCATCTCTGTCCGTACAACTCGCACGAAGCTTCCTTCGTAACTCTGGTTTGGCGGGCCGGTTCTGGAATCCTGAGCACGTTTTCGGACGATGCTGTCAAGCACCATCCTCGCCTGTGGAAGCCAAGTTTCTCTTTGCCTTTGCCCATTTGGCACAAGTCTGATGTTTCTTTGCGCACGCTCCGGCAGCTGATCCGAGGGATCACAAGCATTGCTTGCAAAAAGGTTCGGGCCCATGAGCCCCGAATTCTAAAGGAGGACGGCAGGTGCCACAACTGCCCAGGTTTTCCTCTCGGTCTCTGCCATTGCACATGCAACACGGGGTACTTCGTGACCTCGGTGGATGCGGCAAGTTCAAACGCCCACGGCCGGATGGCAAAACGACATATCAGTCAAGAAAACTAGAAACAGGCCGACTGTACAGAAGGCTGGGCCAGCAGGCCACCTTTTTTTCATCATGTTTCGTCAACGGCTGAAGGTGCATGCTGAAGCAGGCTACAGTTCATGTTAAGGTGGTTCAGCAGTCAAAGAGCAAGAGGTTATGCGTTGCTGTCGCAGAGCCATGCAGGCGTCTCCCAAGCATGGTGCTTCGAACAGCGACAGTGCAGGTCTTGGTTCTGATTGGTGAATCTTCCCAACGCCCACGAGCAGAGTCTGTCTCAGGGCGGCTACCGTGCGTCACCCATGGCCCAGGCTGCCCTACCACGCCTGACTGGCCAGTGGCTGCCTGGCCTGGGCAGGGGCAGGCACGGGGCACGCCCTTTAACATCAGAAGGCTTCGATGTGTGGACAGAAGGCTGGAGAGCCAGCAAGTCTGAAGCTTACTCCACCGAGATCCATGCAGTGGAATTTTGCGCTTTTGATAGAGGTTGGGTGCTGGAGTGGATTCGGGGCGCATCTCCGGCATTCGGACAGCATAATGGAAATCTTGTGCTGAACAGACTCAACCTGCCCGACTCGCCCCAGTCCGTCAGAGGAAAGCGCCAGGTAACCTTCTGGAAGGGGCCCCCTCCTGCAAACGGTTGGTAGCGCGTCTACCCGCAGAAATAGAGTTTGAATTCGCTTGCTTCAGGAGGGACACTTGAAAGGGAGAACAAAGGAGGGAGAAAGCGGGACACCAGCGTAAGAGCGACAATTGAATGTTATTCATCGCCAAGGGTATTCAAACGAGGTGTTTCATCACGTCTGCGTCCTCGTCCACGTAGTCCTTCGCCATGGACTGGACACACATTTCCACATCACTGTCGTCGACCCCCTCCAACTCACTGACTTACCAGCTCGAAGCAGCATTCCGTTTGGTGCTGCCTCGCTTGCCGGTTCTGTCAGGTCCGTCATATCAGAATTCCTTCCTCCGATCATATTTCTCTTGAAGGAGCAGCTGAGAAGCGCCTTCCTTTTGTCCCGCCATGTCGTGGGCTGAGGTCGCTCATCAAAGCTTTGCGGCTTGCCTCAACCGGATGCACTGCTCTCAGACCACGGGGTTAGAAGTTTTCAGTTTGAGTTCTGTTCGTTTCGGCCGGGAGCGAAGTCCAGAGAGGGTGGGGGAAAGAGTCCTGTGTGCATCTGAGCCACCGTCAGGCGCAGGGCAACGTTCGTGGGCCACGTGGGTCTTTCTGAGCGCGACTTTCTGAGGCCGGCCAGACGAACGGCTTGGGAGCTTCCGCGGCCTCTCAGGAGGCAGAACTCCATACACGGCAACCGGGGCTGTGCCGCTATGACCGCTATGACCGCTATGCATGTTTGGCTGATGAGACTCTGCGGCGTCCTTCGGACTCACCGACTCCCAGCTCGCCGAAGGTGCCGTAAAGGTAGTATCTTCGGGGGAGCGGACCTCCGCACATCGCATCTGATAAGCGTCAGGCAACTTCTACTGTCCACTCAAAAGGCACGGCTGCTGTATTGCTGAGCATGTTGAGTGTTGAGCCAAAATCTGCATGAAGTCGTCATGTTGCAGGTAGTGCCGGCCATGGCTCAGCATTGCTTGGCCAGCGCCCCAGAGTGGAGAGGCTGTGGCCCCCCTTGTCCGTGCAAGACTTGCTCGGACTCTTTGGGAGCTTCCAGCAACTTTGAACCCCAGAATTGCGAGGCAACTTGCCAGAGGGTCCCAAGCTGTCCCATGGATCGCATGGAGCGCTGCAGGTGCCGCAGGGTGTGACTTGGAGTTGCAGCAGGGCTCCCTGCGCGATCCTGCGCGCGTTGCAGGACTCACCTGGAAAATCTCCTCAAGTCGTCGCCCTATCGGAAGATGACTGAACCAAGCCACATAAGCTTCACACGTGCAGGTCTTTGCAGGGCTTTGGCAGAGAGATGTTCGGTGCACTGAGGGATCGACGCGATTTGGTGTTCTGCCACCCCCGAAGGTGGAAGCGATCAAAGGGCCAGGGATTCGGCTTTCACCTTGAAGCAAAGAGCAAGGTCCAGAAGAAGCTGGCTTCAGATGCAAACAGCCATTAAACTTAAATACAGTAGCTTGGTTGGCTGATTTGGTATTGACACAGTCTTGTTTTTTGGAGGTCACGCCGTCGACACCGCTTCCTTTGCAGGCCACAGAAAGCACAGCTTTTCGCATCAGATGGCATGTAAGCGCTTCAGGCCGAATAGCCCGAGGAGGCATCGAAGAGGCAGCAGCTGATGCGATTCCTACCGGTCCTACCGACTGCTGAAGCAGCTTTGTCCCGTCAATTCATGTAAAAATCGAGGCCGCATGTCTGTTCCGTCATGTACAAGCATGCCGAAGCGGCCGGCACACTGTCGGCAATCTTGTTGGAGAGCAGACCACACCGAATGTTGTCAAGTGTTAGGCATCCCAGGATGTGCCGGAGGAACTGCTCAATCTTCGTGCTAAAGTTTATCGGTTTAGCGTCGAATTGAATTCCTGTCCGCAGCAGACCTGTGCAGACCGTTCTCAGAGACAATCAACGGTTCTTGGGTCAACAGTAGTCTCAAAGCATCTTCATGTTCCAAGTTGTTCTAATATGGTTAGACGGTTAGACATTTCCATTCATCATGGTGTGTTGCTATCGGAAAGTACCATCGTTGGCTCAATAGTAAGGAAGCACAGAAAAGATGTCGCGCGTGTACCTGCTTGCTCATGCTGGCATCTGCCTTGGCATGCTGGCGTTTGGGTATCTTATGCAGGACGCCGTGCCTTGCAGTCCCTAGAGACGGGAAGCGAATTTTTTTGACGACTCGAAGCTTAGGACTAGGTTCGGGTCCGGGTTGCTCTTCGCTGAATTCCGGTTCCTTGACTGCCAGTCTGATGCCGGAAGTTTGACCTGCGGATTGCGTTATCAGCCTGCAGTCTCTTGGGCAGTTCAGCAGAACGCAGCGACTGTAGCGACTCGTTCCTTTGAGGATACTGTTTTTCGCGCATGCAGCCTGGGCGCAGGCCATGCGACTGTGAGTCTTCACATTATCGAGCGAGCTGTTGGGTTTCCTTGCAGTCGAACCCCTCACGTGCCTGTCTCCGAACACTATTTGAATCTAAAGATGGGAAGTCTGAGAGCTTTGATGCTGGTGACGACTAAGTCGCAGCAGACGTTGGCACCGGTAATTTTAGGGATGTGCAGGGCGACCGTGGGAAAGCAGGGTTACATATCCCTAGCACAGGCCACGCTCCGAAGACTGGCGCTGCAGCTCCGGCGATGGTTGAGGCAGCGACACGCCTGGCCCCGGCGGTTCCAGCTCCAGAGCCTCCGCAGCCGGCACCGCCTGCAGAAGCGCAGCCTGCCAAGTCCGACAAGCTTCTGGCTCCTCCTGTCAATTGCGCCACGGCGAGTGGGTCTATTGCAGGTGCTTCATTGAAGACCTCGCTGGTCAAAGTTGCTGGTGAGATGTTCTGGATGCGCCACCATTTGCACGACCGCTTGATGGACAAAGTCATCGCAGGGGACTACGAGGCCGATCTGTTTGCAAATGTCAGGCCTTTCCTCAATACTGCCTGCACGATCAAACGAGGAACTGTTATCGATGTCGGGGCAAACCACGGCGTCTATGCCATTTTAGCAGCCAACATGGGATGTAGAGTCGTTGCATACGAGATACAGCCTCGTTTGACACCGCTCATCGAATACAACGCGTGCATCAACCGCTTGGGTGACTCTGTTGTCCTGCGTCCCTTCGGTGTGGCGGCCACCTCGGCGCTTGCAAAGTTCACCGCTACAGACGCCTCGGGCAAATACACAGGCAGTGTCGGCAACAGCCAGGGCAAACCCTATCGAAACACCGGATGGTTGGGAGCTTTTGTGAACAAAGGAGGTCAGGTGACGGAAGATGACCCAAGTGCTGTGAAGCTCGTGACACTGGATGAAGAAGGAATCAGGCTTGGCATCAAGCGGGTCGACGTCTTCAAACTGGATGTGGATGGCTTTGAACTGGATGCCATCAATGGTGCCTGGGAGCTGCTGGCACGTACTTCTTTCTTTCAGTTCGAAATTAATGCCGGGGACTGGCGCTCGCCTTCAAAACCTGCAGATTATGTACCTATGCTGGTGCGTTTGAGTAAACTCTTCAAGCTGTTCCTCTTGAAGCCTAGAGGATCGGCAACTGGGAACAAAGCATATGGAAACTTGTATGCACTGTGCCCAGATTCGAGCGCCTCATGTATGAAGGGTTTCGTGGACGAAGTCGTTGCGCATGGCAACGACAACCTCTTCTGCTTTCGAATACCTTGACCTCAATTCGTGCCGTGCTTCGTTGCCTGTAGACAGAGCTGATTTGCAGACGAGTTCGTGGGAAGCTTACACAGGCCGCTGTGACACACGGTGCAACGGTCCAACGAGCAGACCTGGCATCCCGTTCGTGCTGCAGCACCTTGCGTCGGCTCGTAAAGCGGGCTGCAAAGTTATCACGGCAAAAAGCACTGCTGCCATGAGCTTCTTGAACTTGTCGAACTGAGCAACAGGTTCACCCTCGCTGCCTGTTCTATGAAAGAAGTTTAGCATGGAGTTATCACGTTGCATCACACAAGCTTTGTTACAAGGTGCAGTTTCCATATTAGGTAGTTGCCACGTCAGGCGTGTCAGCAGCGTGAGAAAACCAGCTACTTGACATGCTTACCCCTGTCCAACATGTCATTGATGGAGTTCCAGTACATAGTTGAGCTTGATGTGCCACCGACCATAATGATGCTACTCGGCGCCATGTGTTTTCGCTGTGAGGCTGCCCGAGTCTGAGCCGGCGTTTCTTTCATGCCAGCTTCTTTTGTGTGGCCTTCGCAGCCCTTCCCGGACCACACACTCAGCTTGTCTTCAGCTGCGAGGATGCTATCCTGGGAGGAGCAGAGCTGTCAGAAGCTGCAGCATGCTGTCCGATGCTGCGAATATGAGGTTCGTTTGTGCATGACTTGGCCGCATTTCGACCATGGCACGTAGAACAATGCCGGCGCATTCTGGCTTGTGGCTTCGGTGAGTGGAATGTTCCATGCACAGGTGTTTTGCACTCTTGTGACTCATCAGCTATCCATTCAATAAATCGACCTGCATTCCATGTAATTATCTTCACCGTGCCCTTGCTTGCCATCCTGTTTTGTGTTGCGATGCCCAACATGACAGACACTATTTGCCACATATCGCCTATGGCAAGCTTAAATCAGGGCGACGTAAAGGCAAGTCCAATGTGCGGGAAAAGCACAGCGGCAAAGCAGGTCATTTTTCGGCCGATGCTCGTGTAGCCAATGTAGCTCATGCGCATGCCATGGCCTCCAGGGGTGCCAGGCACCCACGAGCGCTCCATGGTGACGCTGCCTTGAGTGCCACTGTTGACTACCTCTTCAAGGCTCCGTACAGCAGCTGCTCCGCGTTGAACGACTTGAACGATGCTTTTCTGTTTGCTTTTGGTGCAGGGCCTCTTCGCCAGCAGCCTCTTGAAAAAGCACGTTTCGGAGTCCATTTCTGCAGCTGTCAAGGAGGAGCTGCGACAGTTCCTAAGCTCCCGGGATGCAGAGTTGAGGGAGCAGAGGAATTCTTCGGTCACGGGGCAACTATGCTTTCCCCACCAGCCGAGGCAATGCCTTCGCTGGTTCCTTTCCAGATATCCGAATAGGTGCGAAGAACCCGAGCCTTAAACCAAGAAGGAACCCAGAGCTCTCAGTCAAACCTCTGCAGCACGTTGCAGGTCGTGACCTCCTCCAGGATTCCACCTTCCTCGGTTTCGAGGAGGTCGCCGATGCTTGCTTTGAGCTGCAAGGCCCACGCGACAACCCATGAAGGTGCTTCTAGCCGGGATCGAAGAGAAGGGCCTGGGGGGCAGCGACGCTCTCGTGCAGGTCGGCTGCAACGCGATTCTCCGGTCGCTTCAGTTGTTTTTTTTCCCGCAGATGCCTCGCAGGCAGTTAGATTTCTCCTGCCCGCGTTCGAAGACGATGAGCGCATCAAGGCCTGCTGGTGCTAAGATGCCTTCCTGCACAGTTCGCAGAGCAGCGATTCTGGCCAGGCCCTTCTTTCAGAGATCGACGATGCAGCAGGGCACAGCTTCGTGGACTCTCACAACGAAGAAGCCGAAGAAGATGGGGACGGGCAAAGCTTTCATGCAAGTTGCACACCCGATGGTACCCCAAGCAGCATAAGCTACGAGTTCCTAAACAGGCATGCCACAGCCACAGCCAGCAGTATGTAAAAGCATGTGAGTGCGTGGCAGATTGTGGAGAATGGCGGAGGTGACCCTCTCTCGCAGTCTCATGTAGGAGGACCGAGTCCAGTTTGCGACCACATCCTTCGCCTCCAACGGTTCGGACGACAGGTTCACTGCAGCACGTGGCAGCTTTGAGAGAAGCCTTGGACAAGCGGCACCCAATACTTCAGGTTTGAGGTGGATGCCGACGAGGTGGTGACAGACAGCTTGGTCCCTCTGATCTTGCTGGAGGCACAGATCGTGGAAGTCAACGAGTGCTGGCAGGGCTGGGTACTGAGTGATTTGCGGCGAGACGCTGAGCTTTGCCCGTGTCTCCTTGCGATGCATCAGCAACTAGCTCGCACATGTCGCGGGTGCTCACCCGAAAGCCCGGCTGACAGCACCGGGCGTTGGGGAAGGAGTGGGCTGTTGACTACTATAGTTGGAGCAACGTGCCTTTTTGGCACAATCCGCTGATTGGTGATGCAGATTGATTGCATCGTGGTGTTTAAGACTCGGCAGAAGCTTCTGCATTGTTACGTAGAGTTGGCACACCGCAAACGATGAGGTTTCATGGACTGCTACGTAAAGCCGGAGCATGCCGGTGAGGCAGAGTGCATTTGCCAGCTACGATGCTTGAAACACATGTCAATGTTCGGATGTCTGCCCTTCGGAAGGCAATCTTCGCAGCAATACTGGATGCCGCTCCAAGTTTACAGACGTTTTTCCGCGGCGGTACTGCTCTTCTGGCCGGGAAGTTTGTGGCTGGAGCCCTGATAATGTTAAATGCACGACGTTGGAGACCTGTCTCGGTAACCGGCTGAGAGAAGTTCGGTGTCATTCTGTGAGGATACAGCCAGATGGTACACAATCTACGGAATCCCGATGGATTGATGGGTGTGGTGCTGCCCTGAGTTTCTGCCATGGGACTTCTGAGGGTGCAGTTTCGCACAGTTTCTGGATCGGCAGCTCGGATTTGCATCAGGTGGAGCACCTTGGTTTTCAGCATCTGGACGTGGACATCAACATCCCTCGCATTGCCATTTTCAGCACTTGGTCTGCAACCGCCGTGTGGCCAGCGTGAATCCTGTTCCTCTGTTGTCGTCCTTGAGGGCGCAACTGCTCTTGAACTTTCTGCTTTCTGCTTTGAATCAGGGGAGGCTATGTGCGATGCGGCCACTTGGGGGCATTTGGTCAGTGCATTCGTCGCTTCTGAACCACTGGCGGCCGATGTACCGAGGTGAGCGCGGAGCTGGGGGAGAAGCTCACGGATCTCGGTGCCTACGGGCTGCGACGGCTCGTGAGCTACGCTGGTGCGGAGCCGATCTGTACTGCTTCTCGGGTCTGATGTTCCTTGCAGCAACTTACGGTGCGCAGGCGGAGCATTGATCTACATCCGCGAGAACTATTCTAAGCGCTTGAAGATCATCAGCATCTTGACAGCCGCCACATTCGACTTGCTTCGCAGATGTGTGTGTCTCTGTGTGAGTGTGTGTGGCCCGCACAGCTTTCTTTCTCTTCTTTCTGAGTAGCGTGCAAGCCTTAGGCAACAGCTGGAAGCTTGCAAATGCCGCCGCCAACCAAGAGGAAGCACCACAGGTTGGGATGACTTGATCCGCATTTGCTTTTCAGATGTTCTGATTCTTCGCAGGTGGGAGACCTCGAGGAGCAGTGCGCAGCAGTCAGCCGCATCTTGCGAACGTTGAAATCTGATGCAGGGGTACCAGAGAAACCGCAGGACTCCTTGTCGGCCCCTGCAGAGACCAAAGCGGTTGAAGTGGAGGACGATGACGAGGAGGAGCAAGAAGGCAGTGCAAATCCGCAGTGGCTGTCTTTTGCCGTCCACGCGTTTCCAATTCTGTCAGGCGAGCTCGCGATCGCTGGCAAATCTGCAGCTGCAAGTGCCAGTGCCCCGAGCAAGAAGGGCTTCTTTGCTTCGTCGCTTGGCTGATGCCAGTCCTCCCCGTGACGGCAAGTGCCGAGAGAGTAGTAATTAGATAATTAGACAACGAACCAGGGCGCAGACGACTCAACAGAACCTGAGCAAGGCTATGTGGTACAAGGAGGCAGGTGGGCACAAAGATGACCGCCGACAAGTTGGATCGAAAGCAGACGCTGCAGGACAGGGATAGTCCGGACGGTGCTTCAATTCGATAATCCTCCGCCTTTGTGCCATCCTGACAGGATAATCTGCAGGCGGGGCGTGGGACAAAGCGCAGGGTGAAGGATGTGAACCTTGGACTCTTGCTGAGGCCGTCCCTCGGACCTTCGACCAGATGTTCCGCTTTAATATGGCCGTCATGAACGTGCAGACGCAGGAATGGATGTACGAGGCGCAGCGCCCGCGTCAAAGAGCAGTGGGGGGTTTGTGCAGCAGCGCTCTTGGCAAGTCGCTGAGTCGCTGCGAGGTGCTGGACTCCTTCGACTCCATCGTGAACAGCATCGCCCAGTCTCAGAGATTGCAGGAGCCACTGAGCCAGTAGCCGTTGCAGCACTCCTTCTGCATGCTTCACTGCGTTCTGTGCGCAAGTTTTTGCCATGTGGCAGGTAGAATGCGACGTCGTCACGCTTCGCATTGCAAAAGCCAGTGGCGACGTCAAGTTCAAGAACTTCAGGGTCGCGTGCCGAGTGGATCCGGGGTTCTTCCCAAGTGCCTCCGACTTGGCCCCAGGCCGTGATGCTCTCATCCCTTCGTGCCTTATCTCCGAAGGCAGTGCTTGGGCTTTTGCACTCGCCCTCGAACTCTTGCCAAGCTCTCGCAGGATTGGAGCCCCGACCACGAGGTGGCCTGGAACTGGCTTTGGGAAACGGTGGAGCGGCTTCTCAGCAAGGTCCGAAGCTCGCCTCAGTTTTTCGCTTCAGCAAAGCGGCCCATTCCGTACTGCACCGGAGGAGCTCAAGAAGCCCCGCGCTCGCGAGCGCATCCTGGGCAGATTCCTAGGACGCCAGCGGGACATCGATGTTGCAAATCTTGAACATTCGAGCACGGTTTTCGTCGACTGGGAGACACGAACTAGCTGAAGTCTTGCGTCAAAGTGCATTGCATGAAGGATCTCTGGAAGACGAACTACGCCAAGAGATCCGGGAAAAAGCCGCTCAGATGAAGAAAGATACGGCAACTTGTCCCGTAGAGTACAGCCAGCTCGCACAATCCGCACAAAAGGACGGCCGACTTCGGGGGTCTGCGAGTCTGTCCTGGCTGTCCTCTTGAGAAACTGAAGGTGTTTGATCGTTTCTTCGAGTTGGCCCCTGGTGGAGAAGAGCACTTCAAACAATCTTCCACAAGCGCCTTGGTGGGCGATTCTCTGTCACGTCCTTCGAGTGTGTGGCCTTGTGCCACCCGAAGGATTGAACTTCATCGCGGACAAGGCCATCGAGCTCACGCTGGAGCTGTACAAGGCTCCAGTCTGCGTTCCCTCTTGTCGACTGCTGGCTTGAAGTTGCAAGGAGCCCATCAAGACTGTGGATGCAATCTCTGCCCTGGGCTTGCGACACGTGGGCTACGGAATCACGACGGACTTCTTCGATCCTTTCGTTGAAGGAGCCGCTAGGAAATGGGAGAAGAGTCGCCCGCCAGTCGCCCTCTTTGCACAGGCTGGACACAGGTCTTCCAAGAGCTGACGGGAAGCTCGGCGGATTTTTGTGGTTTAAAGTGATGCGAAGTGCCCATAACACACGCAAGGGTGCCTCGATTTCAAAAACTTGGTGTGATGCGTTGGAGGCGACGACGATCTGGCAGACGCCTTTCGGTGGTCGTTTAGCCTAGTTGCCAAGCTCCTGATGAGGCAGCTCGGGTCTTCTAACGCGGATGTAGACGGGCGGCCTGCAATCCGAGAGGACCGTCGAGCAGGGTGCGACTCTTGTCATGAAGGCCATCAACACAGACAATGCCAAGCAGGCTTGCCGGGACAAGCCTGAGGGTTCTGACCGGTTCGGATGTCAAAGCTCGATTGCTCATGATTGCTCCAGGTAAGGCGTGCACTGTCCTATGCTCCGCGTGCGAAACGAGCGATGTGGATTCTGGATGTCACGGCTGCTTGGAGCTTCAACGGTGAAGTTGGACTTGTCATCCACCTACATCCAGCTGGCATGCGTGCATGCAACGTGAGGTCGGCACCCAATCCGTTTCTCCTCTCTACATGTCCATAGATACGGGCAACCTGGAGGCCGCTAAGGCGGGCCGCGGTCGTACGACTTTGCCTGAGCACGTACGTCAGAAGACCGAAGATCTGTTCCGTTGCACAGGTGATGCTGCAGGATCTTGTCACAATCCGTGCGGATCGTTCCAGGCAGCGTCATCCAATTAGTGAACACATGCGACGTTTGTTCCGACTCTTCCCGACAGCATGCTCCAAGTTAGGCCTGTTTCACGCAGTGCAAAAGATCTTGTCAACAATCACAGTCATCTAACGCAGCAGATCCAACATGAATGCGCATCGTTGGCATTCGCGTGCCATCAGCGAGACTGTGACGGGAGCTCTGCTAGGTTCTCTGCTTTCCCGCGCACATTCGGGAGCTTTCGGGTACATGGGTTGTTCCAAAAGTTTTCTTGGCTTTTTGTTCATCTCACATTTAAGCCTTAAGCTTCGATGCATCAAGATGCCAGCGGTTTCCACAGAAGGCCTTGTATGATTTCGAGAAACACGTCCTACAGTGCAGCATAGTGCAGCCAAGCAATATGGCACATTGGAACACGCGACACATGATGTTTCTCAGGTACTATTACTGTCTGGACGATCTGTTCAAGTGGCATCCTGATATCGTGTGGAAGCTCACCGTCGATGCGCCGGACCGCCTTTGAGTGTCCGACAGTCTGCAGGCATGGCTAGATCTGGGCTAGGCTCCTGACTTGCCACACATCGCACCCCCAATCGTGAAACTGAACAGCACCTTCAAAGGGGTCCGCCAACTGGATCAGTGCGCTCTTTCGTGCACGTTGGCTAGTAGTCATCTTCACAGGAGCTCCTCACGACGATGCTGGACGGCATGATTTGGAGGTTTGGGCTGTGAGGAATTTTTCATCAGATATCAACTTACAGTGCTAGATTGGATGACTGGCGCCCCGCTCGGGATCCTTGCAGGTCTCGAGTTGTCGTCAATGGCAACAGACGCGTGAACTACTACCTGAAGCACCTGTTGGTAGACGCTCGGCGGGCAGCTGTTGGCGTCCCTCTTCGGGCAGTGCAGACGGGCGTGTGATATTGTGACACTGCGACGATGTGGAACCGAGGATGAACACGGGAAGTTCTCCAATGCTGCCTGTCTGAACAGTCTTTTGTGGTCGCCGTGAAAATTGCAGCCTGTCCAGGCGATGAGCTGCATCGTGAAGCTGCAAGATCCAGAGATTGCGATTCATCCAATCCTCGTTCAGCTAGGTGATCTCGTTTGGAGGCCTTGCTTGCAAGGAAGGCAATGGCAGCATCCATCTCTAGTGCATGCTTTGATGTCAACTCGCATCCAAAATCCAAGGAACGACCTGGTGTACTGGCGGTTTCTTCGAGGCCTTCTCACCAAACGTATGACTAAAACAATTATATACATATATATATATATATATATAGTTGTGTATATATATATATGTATACAACAACTGATACAAATAAATCAACAATTATGTATGTATATATAATATAGCATAATATTATATGTATATGTATATGTGTGTGTGTATCTCTCTCTCTCTCTCTCTGTGCGTGCGTAAGAAGTATCAGGATGCATGCTTACAGGTTCTGGGAGCAAGGCTTCGTTGAAGACTCGCTTTCGTGTCAAGATCATGCTGTCAGGGAAGCTGTCCCTCGTCTGCACTGCCACGATCTTCATGGTCAGCCAGTCCATGCTCCAATATCTGGAGAGTGCAGGCGTGGTGGGTAGCACCTAGAACCGGGGCCCCTGTCCATTGCGAAACATCGGGGCAACGACTTCAGCGGAGGGTTCCGAAAAATGACGTCTCTGCGGAGAGCTTGAAAGCAGGCTCCTTCGAGGAGAGGGTCGCCACCTTTGTCTGCAGGCTGCTTGGATTGGCCGCTCCTTGCTGGGCTGTGAAACCCACAAGAGACGAGCCTCAAGAGTGTGCTATGCGCCTGCCACGCGCCTGCTACTCGCATCCGTCGCAGCCAACTTCGGTAGGTAGGAAGTGGGAAGTCACGGAATGGGTTTCTCTATCTCTGATGCAGGCTGATCGTGTACTTGTTCTACATGGTCTCGTTGATCTATTACCGGACCAAGCATGTCTACCAGGAGCCCTGGCCTGAGCCCACTGAGAAAAAGCCTCCTGCCCTTCTAAACACAGGCGGTGAAACGTGGAGAGTTCTTCGAGATCGCCGGTATCCGAGTGCCGAGGCTGGAAAATTCGAACACGGGAGCGCAGGAAAGTGGGGGCCAATTCGGCCGGCAGGGCGGAAACGGAAATTGCGACAGGTGGCCCCCGTTGGCTGATGAAAGGGAAGAGTGAACCTGTGGACCCCAACTAGGCACCACTTGAGACTAAATACTTCACGCCAGACGACGGGGGCGGTGGGAGGGTGGTAATATCAGATCACAGTAATATCAGGATGAAGAGAGCGGAGGCCTGTCCGTCCTGAGATGAGATTAGATGTCAGTTGGTTTATTCCCGGTCACACCGCAGGCACAGCACGGCAAATGTCTGATTAGCGACGTTGGCTTGTGTTTTGCGACACCGGCGGGTGTTGCAGTCCCGCGGTCGTCCAGTATACACGTGAGTTCACCGATGCAGCAGTGGTGGGTTCGTGCAGTATTCGGGTGAGTGAACGGATGTTTGTGGACGCAGGCAGCAGATACTGTCAGTGGGTCGTCCAGTTCGCATGCAGAACGTGCAGTTGTCGGAAGCTTGTTGGGTGACGCTGGCGGGTGTTTCAGAAGTTGGGGCGTACAGAGCACATGTATGCTACTTAATGATACTTATGATGGTGGTACAGTGGAAGGTAGTTAGTCCAAGTCAGCGACACTGGCGATTGCTGTGGTCGTGGGGTCGTCTTCATCCATGTAGACTGTACAGTGAAGTTTGTTTAGCGACGGAACCTGGTGTCACGGTCGTGGGCGTCCAGTGACTCCAGTGTAGCTGCGACTTCATGGCAAATATGCCAAAGAATGCATACTGTTTACATTGAAACTTCTTCTATTGACATTGGCGGTATTAGGCCTGGTGGGGTCGTCGTGCACACAGGCTGTGCTTTGGGGTGGAGGGGATGTTCGAAGTAGATAATGGTATCCAACTTCGGTTCCAGAAAGAAGAGTACACCGGACGACCCGGCGATCGCCGCAACCCCCAGCGCCAATGAACGACCTGTAGCGGATAACCCCACGACCGTAACGCCAGCCGGCGTCGCTAAACAAAGTCTTGTTACTTCGCTCCCACCTACATTGTCCAGTGGTAGTGCAGCTTGATTGAACCTCCTACTGCGTGGTCACACGGTCTAACTATGTTTAACCAGTTACGTGGCCAGCTGTGTGTCTGTGCAGGAAATGGACGGAGGACTGGCAGGAGGCTGCCGGGGCCCCCTGAAAGAGCTTTGCGATGCTCCGCCTCTAGTTAGTGACTGGCAGACTGAGGTCAGCCTGTCGTTGACCTTGGCCCTGGTCGTGATGTTCTTTGTCGTAGCTGCCTGAACATCTGTCGCAGTTTCATTGCTCTTTGCTTGAATTCCAAACCCAGGAGCCCATTTTGTCGTGCTTGCAGCACACAGAGGGCCTTGGTATCTTCACGCAGCGCTGCCAACAGGCTTGGGAATCTCTGGGTCTCGCATCTTGGATCGCAGAATGCGGCGGATTCTCGGGAGGCAAACGACACCCGAGAGACGTATGAGATCCTCTCCATGATCGCCACTTGGCCTCAGAGCTTGGAGCCATTTGAAGCCACTCTGCCATGTGCAGATGCGGCTCTGCAGGCCATCATGCTGATCTTCACGCTGGCTGCGGATACCGCAACGGTCTCCACCAGGTGCTGCACTCAGGGAGCAGGCGAAAGCGGCGAAAGCCCTTTCGTCCTTTGCCGGGCTCTCGAGGCTCTCCTCTTGGCTTCTTGTGGCCGGCCATGTCCTGCCCGATCTGGTGGAGCACTGAGCGTACGGGGCGCCTGCCAGTATACTGAGCATATGGGGTATACTGCGATGCAGGGTCATGTCTCTTCAAGCTTAGGGTCTAGCGCTTCTCGCCTGCGGCTTCCTGGTGCTGTGCGGAGCCGAGGGCAGAAGTCCGCCTTTCCAGGACGGCTCCCGAAACCAAGCAGCGCATTCAGGACTTTTGGCAGCAGCGTGGCAGCATCCCTCGGCAACCCAGAGGCGACGGAAGTGCCAGCCATTCTTGGAGGTGGGGAGTTCGGGGATCTTCAAGACCTATCAGGATTTTCAGGGCATCGGAAGCTGCCTGATGGCCTTCCTGGAGTTGGCGGTCGGGCCCTTGTGGCCTACGGCGTGCCTTTGCCACAGCTGGAATGCGAGTGAGACTGCGTAGCGAACTGAGATCAACATGTTTCCAGCTTCGCATCTGGAGCAGCTGGAGGATGGGGACAGCGCAGATAGGGCTCTGGGGCAGTCTTGCAGCAAACCGCGGACGAGGGAGACACACGGATTGGGTGTACGGCTGTCGCGAAGCTAAGGAAGACAGTGTCAATACAGTAGCATTAGCACAGCATCGCCGCGTTTTCGTCGATCGCTTTGTGAGAAGGAGAGCTTCATTCTTCTTGCAGCAGCGAGCTGCTTTCGAGTCTTGGCCACTCGGGCGACAGCTGCTAACATTTTTTGGCGAAGAAGTCTCGCACCCAGTGGCATGCTCGGCAGTGAAGGTAGTCTTTCTGCTAATGAACGTCCTCATCGCGCAGCTCACCTGCCCACCGGTTGAACAATGGACGTTCGGGCACAGAACGGTGGACATTGGTTACATGTGCTCTAAGGTTGCTACAAGCAGCTCTCCGTGAGCATGGTGGGCCATGCACGCCTGCGTGGCCTCCTCAGCAGCGCCGTGTCGGGCCCTTTCCCTCCTTAAATGGAGTCAAGAACCAAGGTCGCATGCAAAAGGTAAGCGAGGCTGGAGATAGCGAGGGCAGTCATCGAGGTTCTTCTCGAGCCTGGACGCAGGCCATGGAGGGAATCCCTTCCGCGACCTTCCAACGTTTCATCGAGCCTGTGGGCCCAGCTTGCGTTGCCAGAATCCGCTGGCACAACCGCAACGTTTCAACCGAGGAATTTGCAGTTGGATGATCCGGTGGAATTCGGGGAGGGGGACGTTGGTCCGGCGGGGGGCATCCAGGCAGCGTGCAGTGCAGCTTGGGCTGGGCTTCTGCAGTGCAAGGATGCGCGAGACTCGCACAGGTCCTCGAGCCTGGGAACCTCCATCCCACGAACGTCGGCGACCAAATCTAGTCAGGGCCAGTCAGGGCCAGGGCCGAGCTTTCGGAAGCCTCCACCCAGGTCGACACGATCCGGCGAATGGGCGGGAATCCCAAAAATCCTTTTCCACCCGAAGACGAGGATCTCACAGAGGCAGATCCTGGGACCCTGCGGCCGATGAAACGCAGAAACTTTTAAGACCAGTCCAGGCTGAAAGGTGCCAGCGCCTCTTTAAGATGTATCAGAAGGCTGTGAAGCCCGGGCCCCAGTGCTGTGGCTCTGGGCTCTGCTTCTTTCGGGTGCCGGGCGGGGGAATTCGGGCCGAGGAAGATCACGAGCCAGGGACACTCCAGCGATGACAAGCCCTCTGCGCCCAAGGCTTCGGAAGAATTTCCGACGGCGCGGCGCACCGTTTAAAAGTGGCTGCCAGGCAATAACGAGCCGAACGACCTTCGGAATGACGCCCGAGGAGGTAGCCGGATGCACTGCAATACCGCTGCTTTCACGAACCCACTGCCAGGCGAAAGACGGCAGTGAATAAGTTTTAAAGGCATTGCAAAGCCTCTTCCCAGGGGCCCTTGGCGACTCAAAGGATAAGTCGCCTGCATCTGATGCAGTTTTGTGGCTGGCCTTCGTCTGCCTTGCAGGTGAAGCAGCTGCGAGCCTGCAGCGTTAATGAACTTTTCAAAGGACTACTCGTAGCTCTTTTCAGGTAGCATGCCGCCAAGACCTGCAGCTGTGATGCGAATCTGTGACTTGTGCTCTGGCATGGATGAAAGCTTTCTATGTTTTCCAAGCAGGTGCAACGGCCTGTGCAGACTCATTCTTCGCCTCGAGGTCTCTCGCGAATGCGATGTGTCTCGTTGGTATTCCGGCTAGGCCGAATGGCCAGCACAAAAAGAGCCGTAACGTTGAGAGATGTTAGGAGGATGTAGTAGGATTTCAAAGTGCCACTGATGTATCCGTTTACCTTGATGGACCCCTGCCCTTCTCCCATGAGACCCTGCGGTCGCTCGGAGAGCTGCTTCCTGAGGAAGTGTCTGAGGTGACACCTAAGTCCATGCCGGCCAGACTTTGGGCCACAGTTTCAAGAGCGCTGATCGTCAGGACTCAGAGGAGGACGAGCCTGAGCGCTGGAAGGCGAAAATCTGAGTACTTTTCCTAGGCAGCTGGCTCCCCGAAGTCTCTTCCCGAAGGCGGCGCGGGGCAAAGCCACCCGCGCCCCGAGGAGAACTGTCGTGGTTGGCGCCCCCGCCGGGGTCCCACATCTCATGTTGTTCGGCTCGCACGGGGGCTGGGAAGAGCCAATGGACAGCATGAGCCAAGGCGCCTGTTGCGGCGAAACAGCCGAAGAAGAGAAGCCACAAGCCCAGTGACCACTGCACCATAAATCGACCTAGTTGTTGTGCAATGTTGGGTTCACGTGGCTGGACAGGTCCCGTCCAACAGCTTCTCAAGGCCAAACCAGAGACGGTTTGATGGCCTTGCAGGCTTTCGTGTCTTGAACTTGAGGTCATCCGTGCAAGCAAGACCTGCTTGATAGCGTGTGGTGCCCGGTGAGTAAGCTTCCGCACTGGCGACGGTCGTGGCTAGCTTCTTCCGTGAGGCTGGAGATAGAGGAGACCGCGCAGGACCTCCGCATCCTGCGAGTTCCGAGCTCAAATCAACTTAGACCCGAGCAGGGCTACTGCCGAGTTCTTCCTACCGGTTCTGAAGGCCATCCAAAGCATTCCGGAAGATGAGATCGAGATGTTCTTTAGGCCATGGGACATTCCTTTTATTTGAGCTGCCGAGAGAGCTTGGTTTCAGTTCAGGCATGGAGAGATGTCGGGACAGTTGGGGGTGGGCGGAATCAGCCTGTGTCGCCAGGGACTGCGGCTTCAAGGAGGAAACAGTTCTCCACATCGCAGAGCTGATTGAGGCCTAAGCCTAAGCCTTCGGGTCGAGTCTACTCCCGCACTTGGACCATGCTGAGCCGACTGAGCCGAGAAGGGTCCGTTTTTTTTGTGCAGGAGGGGCGGCCGCAGATCGAGCGGACCTTGGCTTCGGTCTTCGGACTTCGGTCTTTGAGATGCCTTTCGCCAAGCCTCTGGCCTGGTGGTCTAAGGAGGAGCTGTCAACGAGCATCTTGCGAAGGACCTGGTGCCTGGTCCGAGCCCCAGGGCCCAGAGCAGATCAGAGCAGGCCCTGCTGGCTTCAGTCTCTCGAAGTCGGCTCACGATCACGAGAGGTCATCCAGATCCTGGTCGTCTGCATCGTACCTCCCAGAGATACAGAAGCGCAGTGCCATAGTGAGTCATGGCGCAAGCTTGCTCCCCTAGGCCATGGTGCTAGCGGTGTCCGGGGTGTGCCTGCCGCAATTAGAACGGCACTGAACGGCTCAGCTCAGCTCACTTGATAGAAATCTGCCAGGGCTTCTTTGCCATCTCCTTGGGCTACACGGGCGCCAGCTGCCAGTTCTCCGACTTCACGAACGGGACCTCCGCACCTCTCTCGGCAGCTCGCTTGGGGTGATTGTGAGCGTTCTGCAGGACCTGCCAGCAAGGCAACGTCTGCAAGCTGCAGGCCAAGTCATGATAGAGCATCCTGGAGCAGACACTTGAGAGGGTGAGTGATTACTTTTAGGCTGGGTACCTTTGTTCCCTGTGGGAGAAATGGTTGAAGCCTTCAGCACATCCTCCGAGCTTAGCCAGCGACAAAACACATCCAGCTGCGGAACATGATTAGCACCGTCGAGACCCCACAGGCTGCACGCCAACACACGTTTTGTCTTGTGTCCACAAGGGTGGGCCAAACGACGTTGGAGTCGGCGTCAGACGAGTTTGCGCCAGGTCGCGGCCTGGTACGAGGGGGGCATTGCCTACTCCAGTGAGCCACCCACTGAGCAGTGCTAGGCCGCTAGGCAGGAGCTTCTGCACGTCGCTTGATGACCAGATGTAAACTTCGTGCTTCTATGATCGTCAGCTGTGCACGGCAGTGTGGCTCGGTTGAGGCCATTCTTGCAGTCCTCGCCTCGTCTTGGAGCTCAGGTTCAGCCCTCCAGTGGCGACGTCGGAGTTGGGGCCCCGGCCCTGCCAAGCTAACTCGCGGCGCAGCTGCGTCGCAGCTGCATCGCAGCAGTGTCGCAATGTCGTCCCGAAAGGTCGGCCGGATTAAAATCCTTTGATGCGAACGGTGCCTTCCGCTGCTGCAACTTCGCACAGCAGGCGGCTAGAGTCCTTCGTCCACCAGTTTTGCTTCGAGAGTCTTCCGATCAGGCTGCGCTGCGGAACGTCATCCCCCAGGACACCTGACAAGGGGAAATAATCGTTTCGCATCGTTTCACTTGGGGTCTCCTCTAAGACATCCAGGATTCTTCTACGGTGGGAGACCTGGGAGTCGGCTATGGGTCAGGCGCCGTCTCGGACACTCCTGCAGACTGCTTTTCGCGACAGTAGGCGCAGTTTCGTACTCCTCTTCTCAGATTCTCGCCTTGCCGAGTCATGTCGTTATGTCAGTGAATTTTCACTTTGGCAGGAACAGCTCGAGCCTAGCTGAAGCAGATATACGGCACACGCACGCGCACACGCGAACACACACGGACACAAATACGCGGTGTACCCATCGATCCATTGTATCCAGCCATCATCGTTCTTTCCAGAAGCACGTGCACATTTGCATATGTTGGGTTGCTGTACTGTTGTTTTTTCTTCTATTTTCCTATGCTATTATCGGCATTTCCATGCTGTCAGAGGTTTGCGCAGCCTGATTAGACGATGATTCTCCTCTCGAAAGGGCCCGGAGGGCCGCGAGAGCTCATGCTCCCAGAAGTTTGTAGGAGCTCGAAGCAGTACTGCTTTACCAGCATGGTATTCCTGCCACACTCTGTGCAAGGGCAGGGGCAAAAGTAACCGCAAGTCTTGGATCACGGCGGCACCGTTTAAGATACTCCTGTGGTGCTGTCATGCAGCTTCCCAGTCGTCACCCAGTTGGATCAGTACCTGGTCCGGGGTCCTGTGGTCAGACTTGTTTGTTTCCATCTGCCGCTGCCAATCACTTGATTCTTGAAGTCCGCATAGGTGGAGGGCTTTTCCGGAGGGTGGACCCCTTGTGCATCACATTCCTCCTTTCGCTGCTCTACTAGGGCACTTCTTATTGCATCGTACTGGTGCCCCATGGCCGTAGGTCCTCGTCGTTCTGTAGCTCGCTTGTTTCATTGAGTAAACCGTCGAGGACGCCATGCATCTCCTCCCGGTAGAGGGGGAGGTGGTACACGGCATTGCGAATCTTCTCCCTGACTTCTGTCAGCTCGCTCGGGCTCATCGCCAAGCAGGATGTCGGAGAGCTGCCTGTAAAGAGCACTTTCGCACTCGTTGCTGTCTGCCTCGGCCAGCTGTCCCTCAGTCTGGAAGGGCTGATTGGATTGAGGCACGGCCGGCGTGTAGTTGTCGGCCTCGTGCTGTCCTCTCCTTCGACTGCCATATCCCGGTTGTAGTTCCAGGCCGTCTGCCATGCTATAAGACATCAGTTTCAAGGTGCGGATCCGTATTAGGTCGCGAGAATGTCAGATTCGCCTGGAACGACAACGAGAAAGTAGACAACCTCCAACATGTGCGAAACACACCCGAGACATATTATGTTAACCGGCTGATGGCTTGGATTCTTTGCCAGGCACTCCGTGTTGCGACTTCTACAATGACCGCAGCAAGGTGCATGCATTGATCCGAAGAAAACACGCAGAACTGCCTGGATGAGTTTGTCCTTGATGTGCCCAGAGTTTTGCAGGTCTTCTGCGACAACTTCGGTACCATCCAGTGCGATCCTGAAGCACATGACTGCTGTATGGAGTTACACGGAGCTTCGGTGTTTCGGAGGTGTGTGCACAGCTGGAATGTCCAGTCGTGTCTGAAGGCAGTTTTCCCACTGCCCAGCCGCACCCTGGCTGGGATCCAAGCGGTGCGTGTCGTTACTGAGTTACTTGCCAGGACCAGTAGAATCAGTAGAAAGAGTTAGTTAACGTTATAGTTTCCCGCTGCCGCTTACGAGCCTCTTCATGGCCAAGGGCCTGTCGGCTAAAGCTTGGAGCAGACGAAAACGGCAATGTCAGAATCGACGAGCTTCGTGCCGCTTCCCCGGAATTGCTGGATGAGCTGTTTGAGCTAGCAGGGATCGTCAATGGTCGTCTTCAGTTCTTGAGTGCCTGTGTATGTATGTTTTGGAGTGGCTGGGAATTGGTGCATAGGTGATCATCTCTTCCCGAAGTCAGCTCAAGCTTGTGCTCCAGTTCTTCTCGGGTAGAAAGTTGATGCCCTTCAGAGTGCTCAGAATTATAAATCCTGACCAACGCAAATCATGAGTTTTGTGGGGGATGGGGTTATGGATGACCAAAGATGTGAAGCGGCCGGCTGTTGTAGGCATTGACGGGAAGGGTGGCATCGAAGCCTGGAGAGAGGATGCGGTGGAGACACAGTAGAACGCGATGAAGTGCAAGCACACAAGAGCGAAGCAGAACCAAACAGCTACATTGCCACATAATACATACTGTAGCGGCAGCCATAGACCATGGAAGGCAGGGTTACAAGTTGCAGATGCTTCGTTGATCATATGGAGCCAAGGTCTGGGAGGAGCCTGTGTACGTTCTGCTGCTGATCGTCGCTGGTGGGATGGCCGCCGATGCCCCGGGTGGACTCTCTTTCAGAGCTCAGGGAGAGAGAGGAGCTGAGGAGCTCCGCTTTTGCCGAGGGCCTGGTGCTGCTGATCCTCGGCTGCGGCTTCGCCTGCCGCCACTCGCAACGGCTCCAAGCCTGTGGCCTCGCCGTCTGGCGCTGCTGCCGATACCTCGCAAGGAAAGCCGGGGCCTCGGAGTGGCCTCACAGAGCCTCAGCCTGCAGTCACTAGAAATGCCAGAGTTTGTGAGGTGGGCTGCTGGCGGCGCTGCAAGAGTTGCTGCGGAGCGCTGTGCTCGAGGTGCAGGAGGCCCCCCTTTGTGGAGAAAGGAGTCCCTTCCGAGATGGCGCGTACGGAGCCCTCCTGCATCAGGGTGTGCCGCGTTTTTCCTTCAACCGAGGCAGGCGGGGGGTCGCAGTGGGTTCAGGTTGCCCCGCACTGCGACAAGGAAAGAGCAAAAGAGAGACGAGAGGCAAGGCAAGAGCAGGCAGGGACTTGCGAAGCGACATTCAGACGCGTGCACAAGTTATAAGATGCCTCACCTCTGTTTCAGGAGCGACAGCGGCAAGCTGCTTTCACGAACGTTCTGTCCTCAGTGATATGGAAATTTGGGGAATAGGTTCTGGACTCTCTAGACAAGCCGTGTGCATGGCCAGACTGCTCAAAAGAAGTGCTCCTGTGGCTTGAATTCTTTGGGAGAGACATTGGTGAGGAACTGCGCCGGTCGCAAACATTCGGCCACGCTGACTAGTTGCTGAAGTATGCTTTTTGAGTCACCGCCTCAGTGATGACCCCGCCGTACCTGGTTCGTGGCAGGGGAGTTGGACCTGACACGGAGTTCCCAGCTCAAGCTTGCACAAGCAGCGGAGAGTATCGGGCAGAGAGACAAGATGGCATTGACTTCGCCTGTTTGCCAAGACTCTTGGAAGAATTCTCTTCGCCGCTGGACCCGTTATTGTACCGCTGATTGGAGAGCAGAGTCTTTCTTCAGAACTCAGCTTTCGGTGCGAGGAGCCTGACGCCTGAAACGAAGCCGAAGGTTCTGATCCCAAGTCCTCCTCCTGTGAAGAGCCATCCCAGGCACCGAGAGAAAGCCCTTTGGGAATCTCAAACAACCCCACATGGCAGGCCGAAGCGCAAGGCCAAGAAGACTCGCGTGGAGCGTCTGAAAGTTCCGGAGGCACTAAGCCCCTGCTAAGATCAAGAGCCCACGTCGTTCCAACAGCTGCCACTCATGTGGAGGCCGAGGAGGACGAAGCAGGTGCGATGAGTTTCAATGGCGTCGAGTCTTAGTGCAGTCGGTGTCAGCACAGGTGGCATGCGGACAAGCAGCAGTAATGCCGAGGACAAGCTAATCATTGCAATTTATTGCCGACCCATTTCCGATCGCAATGCCTACCGAGCAAGTCTTTGGGTTGGACGGTTTGCCTATCTCCACATGTTTGGGTGCACTGAACTCGGAAGGACACAAGTGACTCAGAGAAGTCTTCGCAGGCGCAAGCTGGTCCTGTTCCCCGGAAGCTCTTCACGGATGGCATCTGCAGAAGGTATCCAAGCCTGAGAACGTGGACGACATTCATCCCTGGAGCATCCAAGATCTGGTGGAACAGGAGGATGGGGAGCCGGTTGAGTCAGACCCAATGGCACCATGCAGAACACCAGGGACCACAGGCATGTTGCCGAGGACACGAGTGGCTCAAAGAGAAGTCGCCCGGTGGACACCCCACGGATTCAAGATGAACGGAAACGGAACAGAGCTAAAGAACCTGCGACTGAGCTTTCGAAATACTCAAACGTGGGACTGAGCAGTCGACCTTTCATGCAATTGTGGTTTTCGCGCCTATCAAGCATAGTCGATCTCAGCAAGGAGACGGCGCCAAGAGTAGGATGTCAGACAGATTCATGCTCGAGCCATCGCATCACGTGGAAGCCTCGAGCTACGCAGCTTTGCCCAGACTGGAGGAGAGGCGTCGCTGCATCGCTTTCGCTGCCTTAGAAGCCTCAATCGTGAGGATCAAGGCAAGGAAGCTCCAGGTTCCAAGCCTCCGAGCCCGAAACCTTGGACCTCCAGCTTGATCTACAATCTACAAAGACAGAGCTCCGGTTTGGGAAAGCCCTGGGCCATGAGCGCAACGCGAGGATGCGAGAGCGCTGTTTGCGCCTTTCCTTCCCTGCGACGACACCCAGCTTCGAAAGGCCGGTGGGTGGGACCGGTAGGACTAGCTCTTTCTGATGGAAGCCCTGGGACAAAGGCTTACCTGCGCCTGGCACTCAAGTACCATCCGGATAAGCTGCCGAAGGCTGCCAGCACTTGCGCTGCATTGAATAGGATTTTGGACCAAAGCGGTCTTGATGTTGCTGCTGGGCCCATCATCCTGCTGTCTGAATCGTGACAGCTTGGTGGGCACTGGTTCTTTGGCACGTGGAACGATTGGGGTACTGGTCCATGAGAATTTGTTTGGGAGGCGCAGCGGGATGCAGCCACGGCTCTCTTCCAGGCGATTGCTGCCGCTGCTCAATGGCAATCTTCGGGGAGTCTGCGAAGCCAAAGCCTGCAGGCTCACAGATACTGTTTGTCCACAGGCCAGAGAACCAATCCTGTCCCTTGAAACCCTGTGGCTGCATCTGGAAATTGAATGGCCAGATGTTTCAAGTCCCGTTAAAACTGCTGGCATGAAGCCTTGCACTACAGCAGGGCAGCGTCTGTGCCGAGGAATCTGATGCCTTAGCAGCCGCAGACAGATTGTAGCGAGAGAGAGATGAGAGGCTTCAGTCCGTCGACATCCGACAACCTGGTCTCATCACGCCGACCTAACTGACGAACTAAGCCAGAGCGAGAGTCGAACTTGCTACTCGATGTCTGTGAGGTTTACGAAGAGCTTCTGAAGCCCTTTGGCGGGAAGCTTCCCAAACGAATAAAGACTGCTGTTGCAGCGGCGGCTGAACTTGGAGATGCGCAGGTTGGGACCCACCGTGCCTGTCATGTCAAGCATTCTGGTAGCCTTGCCGATTGCAGGAGCTAGAGCGCTTGCTGAGAGAGCTGCCATCCAGAGCCAACGAGGCCTCGGGGTAGAATCGTAGTCGAAGCTTGCGAAGTTTCCAGGCTCTTCTGCGAAATGCCGACTTAAACTGCAAGGAGGACTACGTCGGTGTCTCCCCTCTGATGTTTGCGGCGAAAGGCGGTTGCATCGAAGCAGCAGAGCTGCTTCTGAGCAACTCGCCTCGGCAAGCTGCGCTCGTTGTCACTTCGTCTCCCTTGTAGGGTAGCTGTGAAGTGTCTGCCAAGGCTATGGCGCGGACGTGCACTTCGAGACTCCCTTTGGTTGGTCAGTGCTCGTTTATGCAGCACTCTCCAACCAGGCAGTTTGGTCCCGGACACTATCGCCTCGAAAGCCATCGTGTGAGCTCCTTGCAGGGTCCAATGGTCCGATGGCTCGTGGCCAAAGGTGCCCGAGTCACTCCACATGAGCTGGAGCTCGCAGCTTTCGGCGGCTACGAATTGCCTGCGGCTCAGATTGTGACTCGAGCAATCTCTTCGCATGCGACGCACAAGCGCAGGGGCCTTGCGCCGCTTCTGGAGCTCTACAGAGGCAGCATCGCAGAGTTGCGCACCGAGGCCTGTTTTGCCTCTCGGTAGCTTTCGAATCTGCGTCTGTGCATGGAATTCTTCAGGCCTCTGGGCACTCTCTGATGCATCTCGTTTGCCTGGGCATCCTGAACTTGCCGAGCCTTGGAGTATGATCGAGCTTCGACTTTTCCCCAGCGGCCGGCGGCTGTGGTTGCGTCATTGATCTCAGGAAGAGCAATCCGGAAAGATACTTGATCTGTGCAGACTTGCTCATCGACCAGGGCGTGCCACTAGATGTCCAGGCGGCAGCCTAAGGTTTCCGTGCGTGCGTGTGGGCAGTGGAGACCTTGCCGCCTTTCGTTGTCGCAGCATGGTCCCAGCAGGACAAGCGTGGGCGGACGTGTTTGCAGCTCGTTGCCGGCCATCCCAACTGGGAAGAGCGGGGCTTCGAGGGCTCCAAATCACACCTGGAGATCGTGGAGAGGCTCTGCATCGCCAAGGCGGATCCCAGAAAGTCCGACAGACATGGCGCCGTTGCTGCACTTCACCTCAGAACCCCAGAGCTCCTTCGCGTATCAGTGATCAGCCCTGCTTCCAAGGCAACTCCGCCTTGTCGCTAGCAAGACGGCGTGGGCTTCGCCGTGTCGAGGCATTGCGGGGGCTGCATGTTGAAGCTTGGGTAGTACACATTGACCCATTCTTGAGCAGGTGGCCTTACTGAAGCACTTGAATACTCAAGCAGTGGGGTATGCATCCGATGCTTTAGTGCCGCTGAAAGCTTGCATCCGATACATCAGTGCCACTCAAGACCGCAAACCTCTATCCGACGCTTTAGCGCTGTGTGGAGGAGGTGCTGCTCAAGTTCGGCGAGATCGGAGAGCACAATTGCAAGCTCTGAGACCAAGCACAGCCGTAGATGTTACTGTTAATGTACCGAGCCGTGCATCAATCGCCGGCCCTTTGCAGCCGTGCGAATGCCTTTCCGCGGACATCCTGCGCCCAAGTTTTCCAGATGGCGGACTGTGGAACTGTAAAGCTGGAGCTGTGGCCATGGAGCTGGTTTGCTCGTTCTTCATGGCTTGGTGGGGGGATCCTCGCGCTTGCTGAGAGATCCTTTGACAGGCCGAAGAGGCTCCTGCACAAACGGGCTCGCGACCGGCCGTGTCCTCCGAGTCGGGAAGTACTTTCCTTGATACCTTGCAGAGAACACGCTGAGGCGACCGTGAATCTCCAGAGCATGCTCAGGCCCATCATGACGCCCATGGAGCCGCAGAGGCCAGGCTCTGCACAAAGTCGGGTCTTTCAAGAGCGAGCTTTGTGATGCAAGGCGCCCGAAGATCGTGTCACAGAAATTCGGCTTGCAGGACTGGGACGCTGTCGGACGTGCAGACAACTGTGCACACAAGCTGAGCACATCAAGATGTTACCGGTGCTGGGCAGGACCCTTTCGCATCTACGACAACCAGCTTTGCTTCAGGTTTTGCTTCCGGCTACGACACGAGATCTTCATTTGGTGAATTGCGGCATGCTTGTGGATCTCGAGAAGTCCCGCAATTATTCAGTATATCGAGGGCGTTGAGAGGCAGCTCGCGAGGAAGACATACAGATGATAGGCAGCTAATGCAACAGTCCCGAGCCGCGAGCCGCCAGCGCCGAGCAAGGGTTTGGGGAGGGACGAGAGGAGATGCGGCGGTTTCGCCAGGTGTCGCTTCGATGTCCGGAGCCGGCTCCCAAGTCGGTCCGGGGCCCCGAATCCAAGCGGGCAAACGCGGTGCTTACGGCATCTTACGGCATCCTACGGCTCAGGTGGAATGGCACAAACCTTCTCGGAAGGCTTCGGCCTGCAAGCAGGACGGTGCTCGCTTCGGGCTGAAGTTCCAGAGGCCTTCGCATCCCCGCATCCCGCAAGCGGCAGGACACAAGTCGCTTGGCGAGAGGCACAGACGGAAGCGTCGTGCCAAGGCCTCCGGCCACTGATTTTTATCAAGGGATGCAGGAAGGGAGGGAAGGGCACGGAGGGTGAGCCTTTGAGCCTTGAAGGATCGGTCCCGACGAGGTCCAGGCTCGGCCTGGAAGCGCAGATCTTTCTGTCACGGGTGGGATCTGCGCAGGGCACTATTTAGTCACGAGTCCCTTAGCTTGCTCAGGTGGCCAATCACGCACAGCATGGGCCGGTGAGGACATGCAGTGCCTCGCCGGTGAGGAAGAGATGCAGTTGTTGTGAGTTCACGTCATGATTCGCCGCCGTTCCGATTTCGCCTGGATTCCGGAAGAAAGGGTTCAGATGGGAGGCTGTTTTTCGCTTGGGAACGAGGTGACAGGGCACAGAAGCACGCGTCAAACACTAGTATGGAGTTTAGCTTACATCATCTGTCAGGAGGCAGCTGTGTGTGTGTGTGTTATGTTTGTCTGTCACTTATCCAGACTGCTGGAGCCGTTTGGGTAACAAAAGATTTCGTGGCGATGGTGTGTTTCCTGCCTCTTATGTTTGCATTGTTTCGCATGTTCTCCATGTTCCATATCTGAGTATATCCGGCCCACTGCGTGGACGTTTTGAATTCTTGACTGGAAGACTTCAAGACTTAAAGGATCGCGGGCCTGACCAAATCAGAAACTTTCCGAACAGATGCCAACATGGAGAGAAGCGCCCTGCTGACGTCATGTCCTGCTTGTCTTCCGTCGTTTCGCTTGGACATTTTTGAAATGATGCTCGCCATGCGGCACGTGCATGCGGTGCTGTGGTAGGTGCTGTAGAATGCTAAGAGTTGAGAGGTTCCGATGGAGGGTGTTTGCCTAGGATATTTCCTACTCCAGGCGGAAGCCCGGGACGTTCAGACGACGGCACTCGGAGCAGTGATGTGATCTTTTGAGCATTTGCTTCAAATGCCTGTGGTGCTTACTTGATCCGGCCCCTGCCCCCCCCCCCTAATCTCTCAGTGTGAGGGTGTGTTGTTATGGAAAGGAAGGACGTCGTTAAACGACGTCTCAGCATCGAAGGATTGCCTCCACCTGAAGGCCTGCAAGCTTTGCCGCCGAAGGCGACAGACCTGGCAGTCACCGCAATCCCTGCTTGAAGGAGAAAATTAATACCGTTCGTTTGGAATGCTTTGACATCGTGAATTGAAACAGCTAGTTGTGCAACTCTGTTCTCCAAGTCGGGAGACGGTGTAGCTCGTTCGTCGAATTCGCCGATCATGGCTGCGCAAGGAAGCGCTGTTAACGACAAAGTGAAAAGGCCATTTGCTCCAGGTGAGGCATTGCACGTGCGCAGCTGGACAATTGGTCTTCTGTGTTAGCAAGTATGAACAACCAGCTGCCGCTGATGATGTCAATAATTCTTGTCATGCTGCCATCTGTCGTTTGTCCAGCAGTCCGTCACATGACCGACACCCACACACTGCAGCATGGGATAGCATGGGCTTCCAGCAGAGCGACATAGAGCGACTTAGCAGCAGTCTTGGACACCCCTTGCAAGACATTGCGAGTGCGCACTGGTGCCATGCGCATTACTCGTCTTCGGGCAGCTGCAACTCGATGGGCCACTCCGAGCATTAGTCGAAGGTTGCAGCGGCCAGTGCTTGCCTCTTGCAGAGGTGGAGACACAAGCCGCAGAGCTGCACGGCGTTTCCGTGCTCGGCTCCTCTCCAGCTTTGGCCGGCAGCTCAACACTTGTGCAGATTGCCATCTGAACGCGGCAACACATTTACTGTGTTTGAGGTCTGGGCGCACGGACTTGGAGGCAGCTGCGAGGCGGATGACGCAAGGGGTGTAGAAGAAATCTTGGATCCCGGAAAGTTGGGTAACCGCACCGTCCTGCGGCTCGACCTGCGTGGTCACGGCCGCTCGGCTGGCGCGCACGACCCAGGCCGTGGGCAGCAGCAGTATACCTGGCCCGAGTTGGCCAAGGACCTGCGGCGAGCTGCCGCAGATTCTGTGTCCCGGTGCTTTTATGGCGGCGAAGCATTGGGAGCCGCGGTGGCGTTGCACGCTGCCGTAGCCGCCACTGCCACAGGCTCTGTGGACGCCCCACCAGGTTTGGTACTGATGCGGCCGCCGCTGGCCCTGGCACAGGTTGCCCGGGGCGAGGCGGACTCGGCCTGGCAGGAGCTGCTGCTCCGACAAGCTGCGACACTTGAAGCCGAGGGCTTCGAGGGCCTGGAGGCATTGGAGGCCACACAAAGTGGACGGCCGCTTCTCAATGGCGCTGCGGCCTTCTTTGCAGATCCCAACGTCGAGCAGCTTTGCGCACTGCGGCGTGCCATGAGCAAGGCAGGTTTTGCAATGTCGAGTCAGAGACCTTAGATTCCTTAGATTTCCGATTTTGTTTAGGATGCGCTTGCAGCGGCTGTGCGGGGGCACGCAGAGTCTCAGCAGCCTGATCTACAGTTGATAAGCCGCCTCAAGGAGACCGTGAGCATGCTTCATGCGTATGCAGTATGCAAAGCATTTGCAAGTGCAAGAGGAGAACCTGGCAAAAGCACCTTCAACCATGGCAGCCGATGCCTATGGTGTGCCGCAGCCTGGCTTCAGCGGTTCGAATTTGAACTGTGCCGAATCCGAACTCCCACTGGCACAGGTTGACTCCAGGCTGTCCTGTGCTTCTGCTGGCGGTGGCCGCAGATGGAGAGCATCCGGTGAAGGACCCACCAGTAGTGCAAGAAGAAGCCATGCTCTTTGGTGACGCGGGATGGCAGGCGGCAGAAGATCTGGCTTCTGCGCTGCCGAATGCTGAGCTGGAGGTGGGGCACAGACGACTGACTCATTCCGGTGCAACATGGTGCAACTCTCTTGCAGCAGGTGGCTGCAGACCTTGCGCATCTGGGTTGCAGGTTACCGGGCACGAGAGAAGGTTGTGAAAGGCACCGGCTAGGGTCGCTGAGGCAAGCAAGAGCGACATGGGCCGAGAGGATCGGCAGTTTCCTTCGTAAAGTCCGGTTCCCAGCCTCCTCGTGGCATGTCCTGCCGAACGGGATAGAGCCAAGGCATGGATGAAAGAATTTCTGACGAAGCGTATCATGCCTCAGTGAAGCATCCAGCAAAACGGCCTTTGCAAGGGTGGATTGTTTCATGTTCTCCCGTGAGCGCTCATGAGATGACTGACTGTCTTGCTCTCACTTCCCTGCTGTGCCGTGTGCGTGCTCGAGATGTCTCTCTGTCAAAGCCAAAAGTGCTTCGAAAAGTGCTTCACCAGCAGCTGACACCAGTTGGCCCTGGCCCTGCACCTGCGCCTCCCTATGAGAGTCGCTGTCCTCGTTCTGACGCTTTCTCTGGTGGGCGAGGCTCGGGCCCGTTGCTGGCAGGGTTTCCAGGTGCTTACCGCTCCCCTAGCTCTCCTTGTGACCGAGGCTCTTCCGGCCACAGCTGCCGAAGCCGATGAGGCGGTAGATGTAGATGCCGCTCACACGCATCTTCCGAAGGTTTTTTTTTGCGAGGTTGTAAGTCAAGCTGACGATGAACTTGATGTAACAGTCATCGAAGCAGGAGCTGGGCAGAGTAGCGTGCACTTTGTTTGACTCCAACTGGTACACATATAGCCATGGGATCGTAGAATTTCTTAGTAGAGCCCAAGATTTGCATTGGCCTGTCACAGCCCGGACCCCCTCTCTGAAGGTTTCGAGTTTGGAGCTTCTGAAGAGGCACCAGGCACCTTGGCTCTTGGCTACCGCACGTCTTGTGGTGAGGAATTACAGGCAATGTGTAGTTTGGCCTGCGCTCGCCGGCGTCCCACTGTGCGGCAGCTGGTCAGGTTGACTTTTGGACTCCATGGGAAAGCAACACGAATGCGACCAGTGCAGCAGCGCTGCTGCTACGAAGCGAAGCATCGGGCTGCGTGGATAAGACGCTTTCAAGAGACCATCCAGCCTGCCATGCTTACATTCTCACATGAACAGTATTCGGGGTGGCTGCAGCGCATTCAAGTCAAACGCTACGAGCTCAGGAACTGGCAATGCTATGGCTGGGCACGCTTGGGCTACTGCGACCCCCATGCATTCGGTCCGAGTTCGTGTGTGTGCCTCCACTTGGCCTTTGGCTGTCCATTGCTGTTCCTCCAAGGCTCCAGCAATGCGGGGTACATGAGACGCAACTGTAGACACAGCTGCAACCTCTGCGGCAGGCCGGGAACAAAGCTGTTAGAATTCGTGACATGGAGGTTCCTTCTAGGTCTTTCCATGCCTCGTGTGATGTCTCTTCACCTTCGTCCGACAGGGAATCCTGCAGGGGCCTCAACCAGCCATGCTGGATCAACGCTCAATGCTGCTCTGCGAGATGTGCCCAGACCCTCGGACAAACTTCATGTAATAACATAGGAATGCAGAGATCCAGGGCGGGTGGGAAGAGACTGAACGAGTATGCCAGGTTTACTTATCACTGCAGACCTGTTGGTCGATGATATGGCTTTCAGTTTCACCTTATCCCATGTGGGTCAGTCTTCTGCTGACACGTCCTGGCGGATGGCTCTGAAGACATCGAGCACTCGACTTGGTACTGACTGCACACGAGAAATCTGAGACAGATGAATCGGGCAAGTATAGTCTTCGGCAACAAAAAAATATGACACATATCAGTGTCACGAACCCTCCTTGATTGCTTGTTTTTTTTTTTCAGGCTAGGAATCATGTGCATATTATTGACCATGGCATGCATACATATATACTTGGAATTGGAGAGACTGGATTCGAATGTATTGGGCCATAACAGCTTGCTATTGTGTACCGCGCACCATGGGCGCTTATACTCGTTGTGATATCGCTACAAAATATAGAAGATCTTTAATATATAGCGAAGAAACTTATGGTATGCGTTATATGTGGAGGTAGAGATAATTTTCTGAGTATTGGTATTTCTAATATTTTCGATTTTCTGATAATTATTAGTAATATAATTGCTTACTCTTTACGAGAATATATATTTTAGTTTTTTATTTTCTAAGAATCGATTTTCTGTATTCTCAATAAAATTATTTTTTGGCGCACGTCTCTGAATCTCCTTGTGGTCTTGCCCTTTGGCGCGTTTTTTTTTCCAAAACTTTATATAATTGTCTCGTATTAACAAAAGATTTTAAATTTCAGAAATTTTGATTCTATGAGCTCTAGTGCCGTGCTCTCTGAATGTAGGTGTCTCTTTTTGTGTGCGTGTGTGTGTCTCTGTGTGTGTGTGTGTCTTTG